CTTGAATATCTCCAGAGAAGGAGACTCCACAGCCTCCCTGGGCAGCCTGTTCCAGGGCTCCATCACCCTCAGAGGGAAAAAGTTCTTCCTCGTGTTCAGCTGGAACTTCCTCTGCTTCAGTTTGTGCCCATTGCCCCTTGTCCTGTCACTGGGCACCATTGAAAAGAGTCTGGCCCCATCCTCCTGACACCCACCCATGAACGTTACCACGTGTGAAGGAAGGAGGCGGTGAAGGTATCGCTAAGAAATGGACTTGCATGACGCATGTTTGCTCAGAATATAGCTAAGGGGAGGCTGATGAATTTAGAAGAAGAATAGCAAACCTTATCATTTCTTTTAAAGCATAAGCGCTGGTGGGCTGCACGGTCCAACCATCACGATTCCACAGTTATGCAAGGTTTTTGATGTGGAATTGATTATTCAGATGGGAACGAGAAGGCTGCAGACGCCAAGTCTGAAATCTCCGAGCCAAAAAACACCCAAAAATGTGTTAGTGCTTGTCTCTGAGACCACGGCCGAAGAAAGAAGTTATGCTGCCTTCTGTTCTAAAGCATCAATCATTCCCAGTGCAACACACTCCGATATAATAACCGTAACAGTGCCTTCATTGTACGGCACCCAAGAGGAAGAAGTGAATTACGATGGGAGGAAGATCCAGAAATCCTAATACTAACAACTTTCTGAAAAGAAGGTAAATGCTCTTTTGTCAGCTTATTTACATTTTATGACTTGTTTAATCTGAAAATTAATGGCACCTTAAAATGTTATTTTGTTCCAGGAAATAAAATCCAGGTCTGGAAGAAAAGAAAGAGAATAGTTACATAAGGAGCAAAGCAGAAAGTTTTACACTTTAAATCCTGGTACAAAACACGAGATGTAAGCAGAAGGCTCGTTCAGGCCCAGAACCACAACACAGATTTTTTTTCCTGTTATGCTAACTTCCAGAGAGGACACAGTCACTGTGAGAATTTAGGTTGGAATTAGTTTTTCTTTCACAAAGAGCAACACAGATCTGCAAAAGTAAGTACCCTCTTGCAATGCCTCCAATCTGTCACGCTGAGGTAACCACCAATATATCACACTGAGATCCAAAAAGTGAAATTAACTTTTCTATTGGAACTTTTATGAAGAACTGTTTAGCATTTCAACAGTGCAAAAAAATACTATGACAGTTTTCAGAATCAAGCCTTTAGAAAGAACTCTGTAAAGCAAAAATACAAAAAATCTCCTAAGACTTTTCTGAAGTAATCGTTAATTTTGCTAAAGGATACAAACCAAGCATTCGTGTTTGCCTGTCTTTCATAACTAAAGCCTTGCCAGCAGAGGTATTAATGGCAAACAGCATTAATATTCTTCAAAGGTCACGAATACAGATTGTCCTGCACCAAGACGAGCATTTCCCTACCCATGCATTCAGAGATAAGCTTATAAAGATCCTGAAAAGATAAGATCATCTTGATAAAACAGGCTGAAAATTCACACCTTTAATTCGTCAGGTTGAACAGTCATGCAGATTAAGAGTTCTTTTTGCAGATTTGTTAAGACATTTAAATTTTAGAGGAATCAGTATGTGTGGTCAATGGAAGGAATCAAGGGAACTCACAGACAGCATTTGAAGGCAAAAAATACGGTCAACATCTTAATAGTTTTGGGATTTTTACTACAATTTTTCAGAAAAGTATTTTAAAAAAATCTGGACTTGAGTGGAAAAAAACCCCCTATCCTAATCTTAACAGAAGACTGACTGCTTGTTCCCCGCAGCCAACAAATCAGCACACCCATTAAACCAGAGCATGCAAACGCAACCACTCACCAGCTCCCGGACTGTCCTAACAGAGACAGGACTTTGCTAATTCTTCCTGGTTTTTGTTTCTCCCCCTCTCCTTCTGAATGTTCTTCGCTTCCCAGCTTCCATAGCAGCTATTGGTATTTCTGGGCACTCCTTGTGGTAAGAGGCATCCTCCTTGCTCTCCCCCAGCACCCCTGTGTAGGATCCAGGTAGGATCCAGGCTTCCCCAGCTGTGTAGGATCCAGGTAGGATCCAGGCTTCCCCAGCTGTGTGGGATCCAGGTAGGATCCAAGCTTCCCCAGCTGTGTAGGATCCAGATAGGATCCACACTTCTCCAGCTGTGTAGGAACCAGGCAGGATCCAGGCTTCTCCAGCTGTGTCGGATCCCGGGAGGATCCAGGCTTTCCCAGACAGGTAGGATCCAGGGCGTCCAGGCTTCCCCAGCTGTGTAGGATCCAGGTAGGATCCAGGCTTCCCCAGCTGTGTGGGATCCAGGTAGGCTCCACGCTTCCCCAGCTGTGTAGGATCCAGGTAGGATCCAGGCTTCCCCAGCTGTGTGGGATCCAGGTAGGCTCCACGCTTCCCCAGCTGTGTAGGATCCAGGTAGGATCCACGCTTCTCCAGCTGTGCAGAATCCAGGTAGGATCCAGGCTTCTCCAGCTGTGTAGGATCCAGGTAGGATCCAGGCTTCCCCAGCAGCAGCGCAAGCCGCGGAGCTCTGCCAGGGGTGTTCCCCTCGTGCTGATCTCTAGCTACTGCCAACTTTGAGTGGAATCAAGAAACTGATTAAACTGGGGAAACTGGGAGCTGCCGATAGCTGGGAAAACACTGAGTGGATTCTAAGAGGCAGAAATCGTAATTTGTTGCCACAGCTTCTTTGGGTTATCAAAGGTACTAATAAAGATGGAAGCCATTTCAGATTTTCCACAGGCAACCACTGAAACTGAAGAGGTAAGATAAGCTACCGAGACCAACAGCTGACGTGCTCAGAATAAAGCACTGCCTGCTATTTCTTCAAAGTAAGAGGACAAAGGTACAAGGCGACAAGCAGGTCTGAAATCATAAGATGTGTTTTTGTCCTTAAATGGGTAAGAAACCTAAGAGGTACCTTAGTTGTCTGTGGAAGGACTTCCAAAAGATTGGCTTGTCAAGGATGATGCCATGTGATAAGAACTTACTGAAATTTCTGTGAGTTGTACGCTCTTGTTTTTGTGGTTCTCCATAAAAAAAATGGGAAACGCAGCAATCCTTGATCGTAACTCCCCAGAATACGTGAGGAAGCACAAATCTGACCAACTCCTGGGTGTCCTACGTTAATTCTGAAGTAGCTGCAGCACTCATGTACCTCATGCACCAGTACAGGCTTGGGGTGGACCTGCTGGAGAGCAGCTCTGCGGAGAGGGACCTGGGTGTCCTGGTGGACGACAGGTTAACCATGAGCCAGCAGTGTGCCCTGGCTGCCAAGAAAGCCAATGGGATCCTGGGGTGCATCAAGAAGAGCGTGGCCAGCAGGACAAGGGAGGTTCTCCTTCCCCTCTACACTGCCCTGGTGAGGCCTCATCTAGAGTACTGTGTCCAGTTCTGGGCTCCCCAGTTCAAGAAGGATGAAGAGCTACTGGAGAGAGTCCAGCAGAGGGCTACAAGGATGATGACTGCTTCGGCAGGGGGTTGGACTAGATGACCCACAGAGGTCCCTTCCAACTCCTACTATTCTGTGATTCTGTGATTCTGTGATTCCCGATGTCTGAGGCACACACACCGAAATAATATCGAGATTGTAGACTAATGGGCAAGGGAGCCACTACCAGGTCTAAAATCTTCCCGTAGACGGCTCTGCCAGGCTCGGGGCTCACCAGCAGCAGCTGCGGTTTTGGCCTCCTCCAGCCCTATGATGAAATTCCTGACGGCTGCCACCACTTGGACTCCTTTCCCAGCGAGGCACACAGACTGTGCCCGCACCCAGCACCAATTTATGGCGAGGAAAGGGAATGGCCCCTTTCACCCCTCTGGGATGATTCACCACCAAAGAGCCCCAGCACTGGAGTTCCAGTCACGTCCCAAATGAAGCAGCACGTCCCTGGCCCTGGAGGAGAACAAGGTGCCCCCTCACCCCCGCCATGACCTAGGACACCACTTGCCATTCATGCATTGAGACCAACAGCATAAAAGCATCTTAGCATCAAAGTATTAACTCCACCACTTAAAGCAAGGAAATTTTTCTCACTGCTTAGTCCCTGCTGTCTTTTGTCTGGGGACCACAAATCACTTTTGTGGTAGGACAAGTAATGAGCTGCTTTGACATCCGTCGTACGTGAATGAAGCTTGAATTGCTGACTTGCTGCCTCTAACGACAGGGAAGATTTTTAAAGGACAAAGTAAATCCAGTGACTGCTGACTATCCTCCACACGAAAGATTTTTCTGCGCGCTCTGTTAAAGCACAGTTACCTTCTACATGATCTTGTGTGTCGAAGATCCCCTTAAAACAACTGTGAAAAATCAAAAAATAGCCTAGAAATGGCCAGACTGGGATGGAGTGAAAGTAGAAGAAGCCGGAGAAAAATATGATAATGGTCAAAGTAATGAATTTGATCCAGCTGCAGGACTGTTCGGATAGTTCCTGCCTTAAGCTTTATACATGGATAAAAACACACCCACACAAGCCTTCCGCATAACTGAGGATGAGGGTGAAGCACTCCTCCCCTCGCCCCCACTCGTGTATTTAACGCCAGCGTAGGAAGGCTGCTGGAGATTCAAACAACAAACTGGACTGCCAGGGAAGAGGCAAGAGGGCACGTGCAGCAGAAGCAATAAATTCCCTCGTGAAGGGACCCAAGGAGCAGATCGTAAGGGGTATGGGTGGGTCCTCTCACGAAGGCAGGCACCTGCGGATCTGCACACCTACAGCGATCTGAGACAAGCTCTGTTAAGCAGCTGATAGCCTGGCACCCCGCGAGTGCTGGGTCTGATGACTTGGCCAACGATTTTAAGTATCCCAAAACGTCCCAGGCTATTCTGTAGGAACGAAAATTGTTAAATACACGTGTATTTAGAAACAGTGTAAGCTGCTGAGTGCTGCGCTACCATAAAAGCTCATTTGAAAGTGGCCCCGCTGATTGTCCAGGTCTGAACACTGTATCAGCTGTACAAAGATTTGTTTGCTGTAGTCCCTCACTATACAATTCGTGGTATTTAAGTGCTACTTGTTCCAGCCCTTGAAGGCACTACTAAGAAACAGACAACCTCCCTTTGTCCTGCTGTAACCGTTAATATACCGACATCCAAGACTTGCCAAAACAAACCAGTCAGGGCTATACACAGGAAACTAAAACCAGTCAGGGCTATACACAGGAAACTACCTCACCTGCTGTAATGGCAGATTTGCTAGTTTGCTGTTGGTTGGTAGGTTACCCAGGAAGCTACTATATAATCTTCTCCGAGAGGAAGGAGAGAGGAGACCAAGTTTCATATTACATGACACGTGGATTAATTACATGGTCTGTATCTCGTTCGTTCTCACCCAGCTTTCCATGGCTTATGCACACCCAGCTATTTGTATCTACTTCAGATGTTTTCTAGCTATAATGATGCACTATGACAGAAGCATGGATGAAGACACGTGGCAATCACATACTCATCCAAGTAAGCAACACGACACCCAGAATGCTCACCTTGTTGAGGACATCCCGCTGACACCCAAGATAGAGGTGCGGCAGGATTCTGGTAGGGCCAACGTTGGAGACGGGCAGGCAGGGCTGAGAGATACAAGTAGGGACGAGCGTGGATTTTCCTTCACAGAGACCGGGGAAAGAGCTGGAGAACTCAGCAAATCCACCTGTGAGAGGAAGAGAATGTATTCAGAACAAACTCCACCGGTGAGAGAAAGAGAATGTATTCAATTTCCCTGCCGTGCTGTAGGCACGAGTGCCCACACCAGTTCTCAGCAAGCAGCACTTGTAGCAGGAGATGGGGAGGCGTTAAGGGGTGGCAGGAAAGACTTCTTAGAGGAACTGTACGTGAGCCTCTTCCAGAGGAACCATCCATCAGCAGAAAAGGCCTGGCTTTGTCTTCCCACTCTGCCTGGAACGTTTCTTTCTCTCTCTCTCTCCATTCCTCAGAAGTTTTTGATGCTTCTTCCCATTCTTAACGATATGTTGAAATGAGACTTTACGAAAACCAGCCGCAACACCCACCACACCGAAAGCACACACACCTTTTCCTCTCCGCCCCAGCACGCTGTTTTCTAAACACCTCCTGCTCCTGGGTATTAGGTCTATAATCACAGAATCACAGAATAGTAGGGGTTGGAAGGGACCTCTGTGGGTCATCTAGTCCAACCCCCCTGCCGAAGCAGGGTCACCTACAGCAGACTGCATTAAGAAAAAGTCATGTTTACTCAATTTGGTAAAAGCATCAATATGTGGTTATTAACATTTGCTTTTAAAACCCTACATTATTATTTTCTATGCTGCTCCATAATTAATATATTTCATGCACCACACTGGAAGAGGTTTCATCTTTCAAAACCACACCAAGCCCAGGCTTCTCCATCTCCAGTGGGCGGGGGGCGAAGCAGACGGGGGGACTACAGGACAAGGCCCAGCCATGGACTCCCCCCAGCAAACCACCACAAGCCTCTACTCCCTTTCCTGCTAGCTGGTTCTTCATCTGCACCAGTTATTAGGCCCCAACCCTATTGTGGCTCCAAAACATTACCATTTCCCACCGCTGCACTACACCACTCAGGAAAACTAGAGCGGAATGACGGGTAACACATCTAAACCCACCTAAAATCCCAGTGGCCATCAAAAGCCCTCCTAGGTTGTTTCACCATCAGCATGGCACAGCTGCTACAGAACATGAAGCAACAAAAAGAGAAGCTGAGGCTGCTCTAGACACAAATACATAGAAGGCAGCTCAAGCTCCATTTCTTCTTCTTGCGTGGCTTGTTCCTGGCTTCCCTCCCATCGCAAGGGCTGTTGCTTGGTGAGGCCGCACCCAGAATACTGTGGTCTGTTTTGGGCCCCTCACTACACGAAGGACATTGAGGTGCTGGAGCATGTCTAGAGAAGAGCAGTGAGGATGGTGAGGGGTCTACACAGCAAGTCTTATGAGGAGCGGTGGAGGGAACTGGAGCTATTCAGTCTGGAGAAGAGGAGGCTGAGGGGAGACCTTATCGCTCTCTACCTGAAAGTGTTCTGTAGCGAGGCAGGTGTTGGTCTCTTCTCCCAAGTAACTAGTGACGGGACAAGAGGAAACGGCCTCAAGTTGCATCAGGGGAGGTAGAGATATTAGGAAAAATTTCTTTACTGAAAGAGTGGTCAGGCATTGGAACAGGCTGCCCAGGGAGGTGGTGGAGTCATCAGCCCTGGACGTGTTTAAAAAACGTGTAGATATGGCACTTTGGGACATGGTTTAGCAGGCATGGTGGTGCTGGGTTGACGGTTGGACTTCATGATCTTAGATGGAGTCTTGAAATCTCTGCTACTGACTGTGGGCCAACTGGCCTTTCCCACAGTCAGAAAACAAAACTGAAGAAACCTCCAGTGACAAACTCATACTTTGACTAAACGTGTTCTCACAAAAGCTAGGTAGCTTTTTCCAAGCCTAGCTAAACCCCAAGCTCAGCTCATTCTCGTACTTCACGTTCACAAACTTGTCTGAAGAAGAACTGGAGGCAGCTGCTTAAATCAGTAAGTTACAGGCTTTTCTTGACTGTCTTCACCTTTTGGCAGCCAACCAGTATGGGTGAAAGGAGAAAACCATAGCGAAAGTCCCCAGCTATTTCCTCACTTTAAAGCAGAGAGACAAGTGGAATTTTAAGTGAAGGAGGAGTAATTATAACTTGTTCAGAACAAGGCACCTTTTTATCATCAAGGAAGTGAAGTATTAACGTGCTAAATCTGCCAAAGGCTGTGTTTACTATTATTGCTGTTTGAAGACGTGAATTAAAATTATTCAGGAATAAGATAATGTACTGTTTTGTCAAGGCTTGCATTACCATTGCCAGAATTATGCCTATTCTTTGGATTGTAAAATCTGTATCTTTAGTAAATGTAGAAAAAACCCAAGGTAATAGCTACATGTGTAACAGCCCATTTTATCCGATAAACAGAAAAGTCAGCAAGCAGCTTTCAGAATAAAACTTTTACGAACAGCGATTCCTGTTCAGTCTCCTGACTTAGAAAAAAAAGTGGGAGAAAAAAAAAAAATCACTTGTCTATTTTGTGAGAGAAGTGATTTTAGACAACTGTGACAATGCTCATCACGAGAATACGCGGACGAGGCTGGACTGCGGGGGACGGGCAGGGGGGACGCTACGCTAGGGCACTGCCCATCACAGAGCCACATCCCTGATCTGAAGGACCTAGGCTAGGGACACAGTCAAGGCTTGCCTCTGACATTTTCTGTTCTTATTCACCAGGTTTTGTCCTCCTTGCTTTAACAACCACCCTGCTCAGGAGCACAGATGCTGCTTCTTCGACGTTATCAACTGAAGGACAAGAGGAGTTTGCAAAACAATTCTCTCCCACACTTGCTACATTTTCTTCTGTATGGCATAATGTTTTCCCCCCTGTTACAGGAAGCAATCCTTGAATTTACAGGTGTTATATGCCTCTCAGATTAAATTTAGTGTAAGATTTGGTGCCCAGCAGTTCCCCGAGAGGGTGGGGGAAGAAGGGGAAATCAAGTGTCGGTCTTTGGTTTCATTTGCTTCGTCTTTATTTCTTGGGAAGTTTGTTGGCTGCTTCTGGAGCCTCTGTGTGTACAGCTGGAAATAGAGAAGTGACTGTTCTTACAAAGAAGCAGGATAAGCACAGAAAAGATTTCACTTCCGTGCTTTCTTTGCATGGGGAAAGTTCAACAACAAAGAACTTTCCCAACGACCTATGGGTTGGTCTCACTTCTGTATGAACACTGCAACAAGGAGTTAAGCAAGAAGCTAATACGCAAAAAACCTGAGATTTTGGGAGATGGAACCCACGCTCCGCCATCGGAAGTGTAAGGAGCATTCTTCTATTTTATTTTTATTCTAGGGCTCTGTCAAGGCAAGCTTGAAGCGAATCAAGATTAAATGCTTCAACACTTCCTCTGGGACATTCATCCCTTCAAAATCACGTTTCTTCTTTCTACTCGTGCTTTCCTACCAAAATGTGTCTTCAGTATCTTTACAACATGAATTAGAGCCACAAAACAAATTGGGTAAGTCTGACATTATATTACCTATCTTTACACACGCTCCCATGTCAGCCCTCCTTTCCTCTGAATATATTTTAACCCGGTATTAGTATCATTAGTGAACTGATTTGAAAAAGCATGAAATCAGTGACTTGTTTCAAATACTAATCTATCTCCCCTGCCATGTTCTATAACCATTTCAAATAGTTAGTAGCTTTGCCACCAATCTGGCTTTCTTGTGTGGCACTCACAATATGAAAAACACGTTCTAGATGAGCGTATGTTGAAAAATTGCTTTCAAAAAGCCCACAAACAAACAAAACCCGTACCAACAAAACACACTCTTGTATGGATCCTGCTAAACGAACGATTTCTTTTAGTGCAACAAACATAGGATCCTGGGTCTGGAACAACAGCATCCATGCGTACAATCATTGAGCTGTCGTGTCGTTACGAGCCTAACTTCTATTCTAAGAAACTGCACTCATCACTACTTGCTTGCATTGACTTACAAAATATATCTATTTTTTTAAAATATAATGATAAAGGTATTATAAAAAAAAAACCAACAGCAGCTAAAGATGTGTAGAAAAAAGGTATTTGTTTCACGTGTCTCAATTTTCTAACACAGATTATGGCTGCGGTGAGTCCCCAAAGCTGAAGTCTATGCACAGTCCTCATGAGGAGCCTCTTATGAGAAAAGTGCTTTAAACACAGCTGCTGTAAGTAAAGCAGACCGTCCTCAAAAAGCAAACTTTAAAGATAGAAAAAAATGAATTTAGTGTACAGGTGGGAATGCAAAATAGACAACTGAGCCGTAAAAGAAAGATGGGAATGGTTTGGTTTCAATTTCCATCATCTGAGGATGACCTTTGCATCAAGGGAAATTTCATTTGCAAATCTCCTTACCTACCTCAGCTGGAATAGGGCTACTGGCAGCACTGTGCAGTTTGTTTTAATCAGAGAAAATACACTTTTCTTCTGGAGCTAGTTTCTAAATAACAACCTTTCTCCCACCACCACTCCAGCCTCTGCAAATAATAAATCAAGCAGAAGAGCGTGTTGAAGCTGTGGGGAAAAAAACCCTACAGGTCATTAACAGAGCTGCTGGGTTAATAAAGTTTCATTGAAGTCTTTGATAAATGTAACTGGGCCCTGGAAATAGATGACTGAGAAATAACTCCGAAATATTGTCTCCTAAACAGCTGATGAAGTATACAGGTTTTCTGTATTCTTGGTGGTGAAGCAGAGCTGGAACAGCTCTCCTGACATTCAACGGGATGAAACCACTTCTCGTCTATTCGAATGTTATGAACAGAGGAAGGAGGAAACAGAGTAACTTTTATGCATTATACATATATCTATAAAATTTTGCGTGTGTTTAAAAAGGTCCCCCACCCCGTGAGGCTTTTGAAGTTTTTCACTCTCCTTTTTCCAGTATCAATGAATTAAATGGAAGACTCTTCCATCGCCATTTGTGATCATTCCATTACATCTGAAAACCCTGATGGTCAAGCAGGATAAGCAGCACAATGCATCTCCTCCTTCAGTTTTAAGTAGGCAGCTGCTTCCGATCATCGTATCCTTCGGCTGGCAGCGAGTCGCTAACAGCGCTCTAAGCCTGCCTTACTTGCATACCAGGCCCTACCCAAGTTT